TTTTTTTTTTTTTTTTTCTTCCTTAGAAAGTAGTATATATTATGTAATGTATGATGATTCTGATTGTGTTTGTGATTTTTGAGGCTTTGTGATCTTTGGGTTGGAGGATGCAGCTGAAGATTTCAGTTTGTGTAGTTTGTGGGGGCCATTGTTTTGGGCCGCTTAATCCGTTCGTTTGAAGTGGGCCGTTTATATGCACTAGACCATTGTACAGTAGGGTTAGAATCGTAAAAAGATTTCCTTCCTTTTTTTTTTTTCCTTAATTCTGTTCTGATAATTGAATTTAGAATTTTGTTAAGATACGTATTAAAATTATTTTAAAAAATTAATTTTAAGATATATATAAATTATTTTAAGAATACATTGAGAGTAATTAAAAAAATACAATTCAAATTGTGATTAGTGTACAAAACACGTGGCGCAAATCACAAATTGACAATAACTTCCGCTTCAAAACATTTGATTCTCTAATTAAATTTTAGAACTTCATGCAATAAATTTCTTTGGAACTTAAATAATTTTATGAAGTTAGAACATCCTAAAAATATCCCGAGCCAATAAATTTTTTATGAGATTTTTGTGCCTTAGAATACAGCTTAAACATCATTAATTATAATATTCGTAATTAATTTTATATAATTTTATGTAATGCTTAAATAAATATAATATAATATTTATACTTAAAATTTGTAACAAAATATAAATTTAATATAAAAATCTATTAAAATTAATTAAAAATATTTTAATTAATATATTTTAACATGTATAGTAAAAAATATAAATTGAACAAATTTATTTTTAATATATATATAATTTTGTTGTATCCTAAGCATATAACGTCAATCATATTCGAAGCTAATTCATTTTCCAAGCTAATCGCAACACGTCATGTAACTTTTCTTTTACACCCAATTAATTTCAATTAAATTAAGCCTCTATTAAACTACCTCAACAATATCGTGTGCTAACCATTAAGCCTCTCCAGTAGGTGATTAATGAAGTGTAAAGAAAAGTTAAGCCTCTCCATTAGGTGATTAATGAAGTGTAAAGAAAACTTGACATAGCGTGCTGTGCCTGGCATGTGCTATCCCTGCCATACAGCTAACTTTCTCCTTTATGTATGATGGTGATGGGGCCTAAACTTAATTTTTAACCTCACACTTTATAAAATTGATAAATTTTAACTTTTAACTTTATAATATAACATTTTTAACTCTTTATTTTATAAGTTTTAACCCAACATTTTACAAAATTGATAAATTTTAACCTCTTACTTTATATTATAACACTTTTAACCTCTTATATGTACAAATCAAAGAAAATAACATTATTTAACATCAAGTTATAATATTTTATTAATTTTATTAACTAATTATCAATTTTATTAACTAACTGTCAATTCTGTTAGTTGATTGTTAATATCCATTAGCATTCTATTAATGAAACCAACAAATTAAATTTAAATTTCATATTTTTTATAATAAAATACTAATGGATATTAACAATCAACTAACATAACTAACAAAACGTTATAACTTAATGTTTGGTGATGATTATTTTCTTTAATTCGTATCGATAAAAGACTAAAAATATCATAATATAAAATAAAAAGTTAAAATATACCAACTTTATAAAGTAAAGGACTAAATGTTGATTTTTGCCGGTGATGGTGATGGTGATTCTACGCGTATAAGATAATTATTACAATTTACCATGTTCCGTATCACGTTGTGCCAATTCAATCAGATAAGCATATAAAAAGATCTCTAATTGCAGCTAAAACATTGAACTTCTGCAGCACTGTATCATACTATTCACAATAATTCTATGCTTCGCTTCTAATCATAGAAAGCTTGCAGGGAGAAACAGAACAAGTGAAACATTATTCATAGTCAACATAAGCTACTTGCAAATTAGCAATTGTTTGTTTCCCTTAATTTAAGAAAATTGATCAAAAAATAACTTCACAACAACGGTAGATCATTCATTAAACATCTTTTTTATCTTCAGGAGGAAAAGATATGTAACTTTACATCCGCTATCTCCTTCCTTCGTTCCCATGCCTCTTATGCTGCTTTCATTTGCTGCAAGAAGAAATCCATTTCACATTAAAACAATGACTTTTTATCTCTTCTTCTTTATATATTCAGAGTGATTTACTAAATTAAGTTCCATTTGTAACCAAAACCTAGTTTCCAATGTATGTATATAGCAGTTCGTTTCACTCACTCGTTTCTCTTCTTCCATCCTGGCCTTAATGAAAGAGTAGATTGCTACCCCAGCAATTGCAATGCATGTTCCAATACCGGTCTGTGTTGTAATCTTGTTTCCTGCATGGAGTAGATTTTCAGATATTAGATCCATATTTCAAGTCCACTAAGTTATATGCTGATATGGAAACACAAACTGACATCTAAGCATGGGATTAGATATGAACTTACCAAAGATGATGATTGAAAAGCCAATCACAAACACCCGTTTCAGCACATTACCCACTGCATGTGTAAGTGGTGCCACTCGCTCCAGTGTATTTGTGGCCAGCTGAATACCAAAAGCAAAAAGAAACAAAGGAAGCAGTAGTGATGGAACTAGCAATGAGTGATTAAGACATTCATACCTATCACTAAAGACAAAGCATTACAAGGCAGGATATTCTCATAGTTTGAAATCACATACCTGATTGTAGAGATGGTAAAACATTCCCACCCAAAAGAGATCGGAGATGAATTTGGTCATGCCAACTTTAGTAATTGCATCACTGAACCCATGCTTAATCAGTTGAGGACCCTCTAACTGTCAAAATGGACATACATGGCAGAGAAATGAACACTTGGATAATTGAGCGTTCAAGATTTCTATTCTAAGTATCAAAAATACATGTCTCCATACGTCACTTACAATGATGGCAGGAGGAATGCAAACAAAGAGAGCAATGATGGAGATATAAGCATAGACATTTGTGCTGTCCATGTCAGTCTGCATATAAAACAAAGAATGAAAAGAAATTAGATACTTTCTTGGAAATAAAATCAGGAATAAAATATTAAGTCCTATTACTTCATGATAACTGAATAAAAGAAATGAAAAGGGAAGAGGAGGAACTCTATTTAAGTCGTTCAAAATAAAATGACGATAGGAAGCTTGAAGAAAGTCACCATGGCTTTCTTGGAATAGATACTCCTGTAGGTGAAAGAGACATTGGAAATCATAGCACTGATGAAGCCCGTCCAATTGAATGACAGCTCAGTCAATGATGCCATAGACACACCTGCATTCAGCTTGTAGTTAATCACAAGGAATAAAATCTAGATGCAAAATACTCATACCAAACTCTACAAACACATTCATAACTGCCGTGACAAATCAAGTATGTGATTTGTTTAACTGCACATCTGTGTCAATTGAAAACTGAAAGAAAGAGAGCCAAAGGTGGAATTTACCAATGACAACAGGAGCAAGCGATAGCCATAAAGTAAAAGGGATTTGTTGTCCAAGTATGAACTGGGATGCAGCCGCATTGAAGAAAGGCTCAAGAGCTGAAAAGAAAAGAAGTTGTGAACCAGTTTAACCATAGTGGCATGCTTTGACCGGAAAATGGCTATTAAAAAAAAGAAAACCATTTTTCCTCCAATCATCATAATATCATTGAGATTTAGGAATCATCACGCTACCTTTAATAGTGTGGGTGAAAGAGACAGCAACAGCTGCAAAAGAAACATTGCTAGTCACATGGCCTAAGGCGTGGCATACAGCAACAGGGATCAACAACTTGAGGAGTTTTGAGTCAATCGGCTATACAAAAAACAACAATTACCAGGCATTATTAGCACATAACCTTGGATTTCTAAAAAGAAAACTTCACAAACACCATGACACGTAAGCTTGATATATGTGCATGCTATCCGAGTGTCATGTTCTGAACTTCTTATATCAATTAACTTCCCAAATTCCAAAATATTTCACATTTATAAAAAGTAAGAGAGAAACCCAAGATGCCAATATATATACATTTGTAGCTTCCAACTTCGCTTTCATGCATCAAATAATCAATCATAAGTGCCATCAACTAAAGTAAACAATGCCACGTTAAAGCATTCGACCGGGTTTCTCACGCAACATACACTTTAATAAAGATTTCATTCTATAATCTATAGTAACAAAACATGAACGGCCGAACAGATTCCAATGCTAAGAACCCAAATTATACAATAATAATAATAATCAAAAAATAAAGAAACAAACTCACAAACAGATTAATTTGGAACATGTAGCACTGTTGGCTTAAAAAAAAAAAAAGTTCACTTACAGCTCGCTTCGGGAGTCCTACACCCCAGCTCACTAAACAGTAAACCACTCCAACAAACAAGTGAATAACCGACACAAAACTGCACCAATTAAACAGTAAGTACAAGCTAACTTTCTTCAACACAATATTACAAATTCCCAAAAAGAAGAAAAAAAAACCCACAAAAATTAAAGATAAATAAAAAAAATTGCCATTATTACTTACTAAGGATAGGGAAAGTAATTGTAAATCTTCTTGTTTATGATGTTGAATATCACGTTCAAGAAATACCTGTTCAGAATAACAACAAAAGAGCAATACAGTAATTTCAAAAAACCGACTGTTTGTTTGACCGATTGGTCATTTTACGGTTAGAATAGAAGTTAAAAGTTGAAACCTTTACTGGAACTGTTAAAAAAAAATAAAGGGGGGAAAAAGTTAAGAGAACGTTCCGTACCACATGAAGAAGAAGAAACCGGTGAGAAGAGCCGGATACTTGTCGAAGAATCCAACCGAAGCGATTTTTTCCCTGCAGTGATATGGAGTTAGTGAGTTAGAGAGGGGAAGGGGAGAGAGTTAGCCGAGTCGGAACGGAGGAAACGGACCTCACCCGGCGGAATCATTCCCCTCGGCGGGAGAGGATGCGGCGAGGCAGGGCCGCAGAATCTCGCGTTTCCCGACTAACAAGCTGGTAGCTGGAGATGCCGTCACCTGTGAGCTCTCCAGAAGCAGAGCTGGCCTCAGCTGCCTTCCCCAGATAACATTGCCTCCCTCTCCGACGGCTCCGATGGACCTAACCGAAACAAACGAAACGTTGCTGCAATCGCGCGGAGGTTTCGAGAGGTGAGGCAGGCCGGAGATGGCGGCAGACCGAGACAGTACTCGCGACTCCATTGCCGTTTGGACGGAAGGTTGCGGGAGAGCGAAATGTGCGTTTTGCAGCGACTGAGCTTTTTTAATGGAGGAAGTGTAAGAAAAGATTTTTTTTTTTTTTCCCTTTTTGTATTTATTTCATTTTTTAGTGGCTCTGGATTCTCAGCTTCTTATGCCATTTGGATCTGATACAACGCCAACATAATAATGAATTGCGTCCTCCCACGTGATCGGCCTCTGATCGGACAATTAACGGTGCAGATGCAATGGGGGAAAATAAAAACTGGGATACATTAATATAGTTGGATTACTATAAATTTATAATTATAAAGTATTTACTTTTTTTTTTTATTTGGAAGTCATAGATGATAATATTATAAAAAAATAATTTAAAAATAATTT